GATTTCCTATGACTCTCGTACACAGAAGTTGGTAATCTTCTATTGACAATTGTCCATTTCTTAATCTATTTAAAAGCTCCAAATATCTTATGTCTTCGGTTCGCATTTGCTGAGTTAATTCTACGACGCAGTTTATTTCAGACATAAGCTTCTGTGCACATAACATATCTATCTGACGTTCTGTAACTTGCTGTGTCGATGCGCAGCTACAGTAGAGAGGCTTGTCCAAAACAGGAGAATATTGAAGGTAGTCGCCGAAGAAAATGACATTGACACCACCAAAAGGTATCTCAGAATTTACGTGCTTGGCTGTTTTCACTATTCGACTGAGACGAGCTAATAGGCTAAGTCCTACCATACTCATCTCATCGATTATCAGGTACTTCACATGACGCCATTCATTTTCCAATTTCGTATCGCCAGGTCTAAATGTATGGGTATTTTTCTTTTTAGTGCTTTTGCGACTTTCACCTAAAAATGAATGGATAGTTAATCCGTCAATCTCAGCTGCTGCTATAGACGTTGGCGCCAGTTTACGCAACATCTTGCCCCTCTTGGTTACTTGGAAATACTTGGTAATTGCACGAATTAACTGAGATTTTCCAGTACCACCGCAACCAGGTATGCACATTAATAACTGATTATCGATAGTACCTAAATATCAAGACTATTCAAAACTTTCAATAACAAAATCAAGAAAATATACCGGTATAAGCATGATTTTCGCCATCTAAGTGACTAGTTATAATCATGAAAGCATATTTTTGCTGAGTATTTAGTGTAAATTGTTTGACGATATTCTGTTTTGTGGGAAATAAAACCAAATTGGTTGCAGTTACAGGTAAGACTCTCGTAGCTTTCGTTTTAATTGGGCTTGTTGGAATTTCAGCACCTACAACTTCAATCTGTGTTTCATCATCTCGTACTTCCAGAGTATCTTCACCTGAAATTAAATAGTTTCTTGTTTCGTCTCGTCGGGCTTCAATATCACGTTTCCACTCTTTAATCATGGTCGTATGATGCTCGCGAGCTACGACAAATGTGTGAACGTCGTGTATGATACCATAATTATTTTCACCCGGCCAACGTGTACGGTCTAAATCAAACTAAATGTTTTCGAAATATGACAGTAATTAACTCACCATTGAGTAGTGCAAATCTGTCTGTATTATCAATTGCTTATAATGCATCATGAA